TTTTTATACGATTGTGCATTTTGTACATTTTGTATATTCTTTTTAAAACATTATTTATTTCTTTTTCACAAAAATCTAGCCTTACAAAAAAATACATTTTTAAGTAAACTGCATTCAAGATTAAAGGGACTGTAAGCGTAATTTTAAGTGATAATCTATTCAAATATGACAATGCTCATTCACAACGGTACCCTCATAACCTTTGCCTGCTAACTATGGATTAGATATCAATGTTTTCAATTTGAAATCTGATTTTTTAAATATGGATTTTCTACAAAAGTTACTTGCTAATATCTACTGTAGTAAAACCTAGAGGAATGATTGGGATTAAACACTTTATCAGAAAAAACGACGATATCATACACAATATTGATCAGATAAAGGTTTCAAGGGTACCGTTGTGAATCTTACACAATATTGATCAGATAAAAGTTTCAAGGGTACTGTTGTGAATCTTACACAAAATTGATCAGATAAAAGTTTCAAGGGTACCGTTGTGAATCTTACACAATATTGATCAGATAAAGGTTTCAAGGGTAACGCTGTGAATCTTACACAATATTGATCAGATAAAGGTTTCAAGGGTACCGTTGTGAATCTTACACAATATTGATCAGATAAAAGTTTCAAGGGTACTGTTGTCAATCTTACACAAAATTGATCAGAACAAGGTTTCAAGGGTAGCGCTGTGAATCGGGCATTGTCATTTTTGCGTGCAGGGTCACTTTGAATTACGGTTACAGACCCTTTAATAATTCTTCTTTGTAACTTCTATTGTATTTGATGTTATTATAAAGAAGGAAAATGATATTTTGTGAATTAATGGATCTCTGTTAAGGCTTAAACCATAAAACCAATACCTTGGTTGTCTGCAGATATCAGATAATCAGGGGTGTACAGTTTAATAATAATATTCCTCCCCCTTTCATTCGATGATGATCTACAGTGATATTCATCAAGAAAAAACAAAACAAGAAAAGTGTTCCAAGTTTAACTCCTAAAATTGAGAGTAATCTTAAATAAAATTTATATTTTACTCATAAATAAAAAAATAAATAAATCCTTAGACTTCAGGGGTGGGGTGGATTGGGGTCGGTATGGGTATGGGGGGTGGTGTGGTAATTTTATACCCCTGTAGATTTTCAGAGGTAAAAGCATTGCATGCAGATACACCTAGAGGTCTTTATTCAATAAACTGTAGGAGTTCAACCAAATTCTAACTTATATTTCAATATTTTATCATTATTAATCCTACACCTTACTCACTGTACACAAACACAATTTGATTAAATTTTTAGAATGTAATCAAGTTTCCACCGACAAATTCAAAACATTTTAATAAACGGATTAGGGACGGATATTTTCAAAACGGTCTGAATAAAAAACTTAAGATGATAGCAAACTAAATAGCGCTCCGGTCAGAAAAACAACAGTTACACTCAGTATTGGCTAACAATTAATATATATTTTGTTGTAGCCAAACGTAGATGATTATGCGGTTGCAGTGTTAAAAATTGCTACGAATCCAACACACACATAGATCCAGACTGCTATAAAAATGTGTACCTATTTTCAAATGTCGAAATGCGTTGGCCCTTAATGTTACCTAACTAACTCACACATACTTTTATGTAGCCCTGGACATGTATATTGTAGAACTATAGAGCACTTGTTTTAGGCTGTAGTTATCAAGAATGACAAAATTCTCATCTATTTTTTTATGAAAGCTTGCAACCTTTGGACCACTGTGAGCATCATGATTAAATATTTAGGCAATAGAGAATCATAATTGTATTCGTTTTTGGACCCACTGTGAGCATCGTGATTAAATATTTAGGCAATAGAGAATTATAATTGTATTCGTTTTTGGACCCACTGTGAGCATCGTGATTAAATATTTAGGCAATAGAGAATTCTAATTGTAATAGCCTTTGGACCCACTGTGAGCATCATGATTAAATATTTAGGCAATAGAGAATTTTAATTGTATTCGTTTTTGGACCACTGTGAGCATCATGATTAAATATTTAGGCAATAGAGAATTCTAATTGTTTTAGTCTTTGGACCCACTGTGAGCATCATGATTGAATATTTAGGCAATAGAGAATTCTAATTGTAATAGTCTTTGGACCCACTGTGAGCATCGTGATTGAATATTTAGGCAATAGAGAATTCTAATTGTATTAGTCTTTGGACCCACTGTGAGCATCATGATTAAATATTTAGGCAATAATGAAATGAAAATCTGACCCAAATACAAAACTTCCAGACATATATCCATAGACCCTGTTGATTAATCGTGACCACTCCCTGGCCCCCTTGAATGTAAATTCTATCCAACCCTCCTTTGTGGTGTCCCAATAATTAACAATGATTAACTTCTCTCATGAGTGTCCGAATCTTTTTGCTGAGAATTGGTATTTTCAAGCGGTCACTCACCCCCTCCCCTCCTCCCCCTCCAGCCATTCTTCTCATCCTATTCTCTTCAAATCAGCAGTGGGCAGAAAAAGATGAGGTTTTAGCTTCCATGGACTTACCTAAAATAAAAAGAACAAATTAAATATTTTCAATTTCTTAAAACGATAAAGATTAAGTTTTGGTTAACTCAGTTCCTTATTAGTCTTACTATCATAACAGTAATTTATTACTTGAAATAATTAATGCATTTACATACTATGAAACTAGAGTTAAAATATATAAAAAATGTTTTACATTTTTTATTTCGCATTATTTTTTTATGCTAACTAGGCCATAGACCATAGTGGTTTACTAACTATGAGAACTTCGCAACAAAAAATTATCAAAAATATTTTGAAATAACGAGAAGGAAACTATTATAAGGAAATAATACAGTAAAAACCTCCTCGTTAAGAAATAAATAAATTCATAAAATATTTCAGTATGAGAATCGATAGATGTATCTCAAGCCACTGAATACTGTTCACATTTGTCATTCTTTGATATTTACTAATTATAAAGTTGTCTAACGTTTCTGAAAGGTATTGAGGAGAAGAAAAATGTTAAAATTTTATAATATGTAACCAATTAACTAAATATCTTTTGACATACAAAAGCTTAAAATCAAAACTAGAGAAGCTACGAGGCCACAAAGTCGTGCCGTTAATGCCTCAAAAATTTGACCTTCTCCTTTAGTCCTAGTTGCAGTGGGCTCGCAATTTTTAAAATTTGTTATTATTTTTTTGGGAAAAGCTTTTAGAATATTTTGAGGTAAAAAGTTGAAAATCGATCCAACAATGAAGAAGAATGAAAGAAGAATGAAAAAGTACAGTGCCTAACAATAGTAATATTAATTGACAAGGTTGCATGATGTGGCAAACAACAAAAGTTGGCTTATATCCCGTCATATTTGTGATTATGTAGATAGATGCATATATCATTGACAAACAGAAATACAAGATGATCAATCCTTCCATAATCTCATTCAGCCTTTCATACAGCTGTAGCAACAACAATAACATCTTTCATACAGCTGTAGCAACAACAATAACATCTTTCATACAGTTGTAGCAAAAACAATAACATCTTTCATACAGCTGTAGCAACAACATAACATCTCTCATACAGTTGTAGCAACAACAATAACATCTTTCATACAGTTGTAGCAACAACAATAACATCTTTCATACAGTTGTAGCAACAAAAATAACATATTTCATACAGCTGTAGCAAAAACAATAGCATCTTTCATACAGTTGTAGCAACAACAATAACATCTTTCATAGAGCTGTAGCAAAAACAATAACATCTTTCATACAGTTGTAGCAACAACAATAAAATCTTTCATACAGTTGTAGCAACAACAATAACATCTTTCAAACAGCTGTAGCAACGACAATAACAGAAATATGTATCTTTCATACAGCTGTAGCAACAACAATAACAGAAATATATATTTTTTATACAGTTGTAGCAACAACAATAACAGAAATATGTATCATACAGTTATAGCAACGAAAAAACAAATATATATCACACAGTTGTAGCAACAACAATTACAGGATTATTTATCTTTCATACAGCTGTAGCAATAACAATTACAGAAATATGTATCTTTCATACAGCTGTAGCAACAACAATAACAGAAATATAATTTGTTCATACAGTTGTAGCAACAACAATAACAGAAATTTATATATCTATTATACAGTTGTAGCACCAACATTAACAGAAATATATATCATACACTTAAGCCTTGTAGCGACTGTCAACGTATAACAGAGGGTATACAGTGAAACTCCATAAATGTTATTATTAATCCCTCCCACCCCAAAAAAAACTCCATTTTACATATAAAATTCTATCCGTTTATTCTGTATAAAATTTCAATAATTATTGTAAAAATCTACATCTTTTACCCGATTGTTAAAGTACAAACTTATTAAATTTTTTCCCTAAAATAACTTTTAAATATTGCTTGATTGCAAAAGTTTGTTTTCAAAGTTGAATTTGCATCAAAATTTTGTTAATTGCAAACTTTGGTTGATTGCCAAATATCTGCCATTTTCAGGTCAGGGTGATCAAATTCACGAGGTCGGGTTCGGTTTAGCCGTTTCCAGGTTAATTAAATCCAAACAAACCAATCAAGCTAACCAGCAAGTTTCACAAAAAAACATATATAGATAGATGAAGTCTAAATTCTAAATAAAACCACCCATAAAACTTCATTTAAAATATTTAAATTATTTGTCTGACGAAGCGTCAAAGGGCACCGTTGTGAATCAGACATTGTAATCTTTGCAAAAAAGGGTCACTTAAATACACGCGTACAGTCCCTTTAAACTGATATTTATTCTATGACCAGCAATAAATAATCCCTAGGATGTCTAGATCGGTTCAGCCGTTTATACGGTTAATTAAATCCAAACAAAGCAATAATCCTACCAATTAACACACAAACACATAATATTAGTTATTTATATTTACATTTAATATATTATTTCTACTAGAACCATCTCAAACCTGGGTTTAGCATTTTAAAATTATTGCAAAGTACCTGTTTCTAAATCAGCAGGTTTTGCTTGAACACCATTTGGCAGAGATGTCGCCTCTGTTTTTGTACCGTTCTCCATCGAACTAAGTTAATGAAAAACTTGACAATTTATTCAAACTACATCTTTATCACTTGCAGTAATCCAAACTCTACAAACACACCAGGCAAGGAGATTGTCAGAAATAATACAACATTTTAAACTATTAGTGGCTGTAAAGGAATTGAGTCCTTGCCATAAACTCATATTTTAAAATCCCTATATTGTTCCAACTTTATTGGGTGATATTTAATACTTAGATTATTAAATCTTACAGAATTCATAGTTTGAAATATCAAAGGTAATATATAGGGATTAGAAAATCTGAGTTTGTGACAACGACTCAATTCCATTGGATGACTGTCATTTGAATTACTTATCCTATATACTATTGAATATTCATACACATTGTTAATTTTCATTACAGGCATCGGTTTGTTCCATTAGTTTAAAATAAACCAATTTTTGTTTTATTTCTTATTCATTTGAGCAATGTATTTTCTGGATATGTCAAAAATCTAATTCAAATGAGTATCACGATTTTAAACTAAAGGTTAGTTGACGTAATAGAAAACTTATGTGCAGTTTAAATGATCAATAGTGCATATTATCAGTAGTGCACACGACAATCAGAATAGCACATGCCCTTCATAGAGAGTAATGTCGTCTTTTAAATGAGATTTATGATTCTTTCATTGACGGTCTTTTTTGTTAACAATCGAAATATTCTATCAAACATGGTATTTTTAGAATTTGACTAAAATTTTCTTAAGATACCTTACGATTGATTCTCGTTTATCTTCTTCTACGCAGAGCGGGGCTGTAGTACTCTTTTGCAAGATATATTTTCAGTATTTATAATATTATTTAGAATGATGAATTGATGTATACATCAATATATATTGGAATATATTATGTACACATAAGCGAGAATATTTCTTATCGGAATGTTATATTATAAATAAATAAAGATGCAAGGTACTTTCCATTAAACATTCTCCTAGGTCATTGGATAACTTCTGGCAGGTTTCCGCTTAGAAACTGTTTTTCTCATGTACACTGTACAACTAACATATGCAGTGTGCATTGTACATTGTACAATGTGTAAAATTGTTCATTTTCTTAAAACCAAAGTTGGATTACAGATCAAACTATGAAGATCTAACAAGTTAAGTTTTCTATAATACAATGAGAAGAAAATGTTCCAAAACCAAATAATTTGCGGATTAGAAGTCGGGCAATATATGCTTCCTGCCTTAGTATTGGGACTGGCGTAGGAACAATTCAGTCGAGGGATTGGAGGCTTTATTCTAAAAATAAGATTTAAAGAGATATAAAAAATAATGTTCTTAAAGCATTTCTAAAGTAAAAAAACAAATCCAAATCTGGGTCCAGCTCAGAAGATTTTTTAAAAGTTTTGCTCATATCTTTAAAGGGAGTGGCCGGCTATGTAAGGTAGTTGAACTGAGTATGCAGTGTTGTGGAAAACATCTTTCGGATTCATTTGAGACAAATTAAACTTTTTAAAGATCTATAAATCCTGAGTTTGAGCGCAAATTCGACGTTCAAAACTCCTACTTTGGAGGTGGATACGTTTTCAGAATTAGTTTTTTTAAATTATTAAATAACGACAACGAGAAATAAAGTAAAAATTATACGGTAATATAATTAGATGGCTAGGAACATATTTTTCAAAAGAAATTTGTCAATAAATCAATGCTAAAATCGATTATTTCGTTTTCATTATTTTATTGAATTTATTTTTTTCTTAGAATTTCTTTGCAGATTTCTTCAAATGTCGTCTTTTCAAAAATAATTCTAGAAAATCTGCGAAAATCTTTGTGAATAATGAGAAACCAGAATAATGAGATAATAGAAAATAATAATTGAACAAGATTACTTATTTTCGATGATAAGATTAATTTTTATTTTCTCAACATTTTCCTATACATGACGTCTGTAGTTTATTGTAGAACTTTTTTAAAATTTTATGTCGTCTGTATTTAATAATTTAAAAAAAATAATTCTGAAAACGTATCCACCCCCAAACATGAACATGAAAGTTAAGGAAGACTTATATAGTTGGATTCTTAATTCTAATGTTTTCAAGCAAATGAAAAATACATTTATGATTGTAAGGTTATTACTTTAATAATCTCTTAAAAAAAATATGACAGTTTCTTTTATAATCAGGCCCTAGATTGCTAGATTTAGAAATAAGTTTTATTTATTACAATTTCTTGACTAAAAAAAATTTTCTTTTTATTCCTTCAAGTTGAAGCTTAAACTTAGTTTAAACAGTAAAATAGTAGAATAGTAAAATGTATATTGCAGGATAAGTTTTGATAATAAAACCTGTTAACCTGCAAACAACCAATGTTTCAACAGAATCAACAAGGGTCTCCCTTGAACTATCTTTATTATCTGTAAATAAATCTAGTTAACGAGCCACAATCAACAAATACAAGTACAGGGTGAATTTCAAAGACGTTGTTTCTGATTTGCTAAAATTTGGAGGAAAAAGCACAATATTGGGCCAGAAAATCCTGCAAGTTGATTAGTTTGCATGAGGTTAGCAAAGCCAATCCAACTCAGCAAAGCTTGTATGGTTAAGGTAATTGATCTAAAAACGTAAAATGTCAAATAAAAATTTATCTTTTACTAAAATTTCACTAAAATTTGAGCAAATTTAACATACAATCTGTTTAGAATTTTACCCTGTACATTTTAGATATTTATTTGAAAGAGCTTTGAAGATAAATCTACATAAAATGGTATCTCGACAGTATAAAATCAAAATGAAAGTAAACTTCAATTTTGTTAGTTAGCAAAGTTTTCAAACTATGCCAAAAGTTGTCAACACGTTGGATAATTATGTTGCTAGTTTCAAATGTTTACATCCAAAATCCATAGATAGGACTAGGAAGGTAGTCTTTCATTTTAGTAGATTAGATTTGTTCTTGATAACCTTGCACCGTGCCGTACAGTTTACAACATTTTCCCCGATTTGTGTGTACAAAGATTTAAACGATTCCATCGCAAATCAATGAATTGAAAAGATAGGATCTTTAAACAACAACAACCTCTCATGACTTATCTCTGTAAAATGTAAAAAGTTTCTAAGTTCAACAACAAAGAAAAATATATATAATGATCACCTAGCAATAACTCTCTGGAATTAGAAAAAGACTCCCGTGCAAAAGGCTCCTTTCCAAAAGTCACTCCCTGCGATCATATTTATAATATTACAAATTTGAATCACAAAACAACATTTTTTTGTTTAACACTTAAAATACTAATCCTTAATAATGACACAAAAGGAGGGCATCAAATAATTAAAATTACAAAATAACATATATATATGCCAATGAGTAAAATTAGTAAAACTAAATAATATTGGTATTATAACTGAAGGTTATTTTAAATAGACTAATATTTTCTAAAGGAATATCTTATAATCCAACCCCTCTGCACGCAACCAGTCTGATTTTTATTTACAATGATAACCCCAGCAAATACAAACATAACAGGCAATAACAAGGTTTAATGAGCAAACTTTCTTTAATTATTTATAATTCACAAATTTCTTTTAAGAGAGTATAGAACTAACATGCAAAATTTCTGACTTGGTTTGAATTAACATTTATGATTATATCCTACCCCTTGGAACAAAATAAAATCGTAAAATATACAGTTTTTTCTGACTTTTTTGTAAATTCTATTATTGAGCCTTTTTTAAAGTGAAAAACCATGAGTCTTGGCCATTGTTGTTAAATTCTATTAACATGTTTTTGGTATAATAGTACAATTGATTATCCGGGAAAACCTAGAAGACACATATGAACCCCATTTAAATAACAATAATGCCAAGTGTTCCCTTCTTGCTAAAATATTTTTTTTCCAAATAAAAGAAATTTATTTCTTTTCCCGTTGTTTTTCTTTCTTTAAAACAGAATATTCCCCCCAAACCAGCCAATGTTACAACTCTTGCACTGATTACCTTCAATTTAACAGTGGAAACTGGGGGGAATAATGAAATAATGGTTTCCGGAATTTAGCTCTTAAGGGTTAATCATTTTTGGAATCATTTTAAAGGACCAAAAATGGATTCTTTAGGAAAGTCTAAAACATGTTAATAAAAGATTTTTTCTCATTAACTAAAAAACGGCTGTCGCAAATTTTATTTAATGCTTAAAAGGTGTAAAAAATAACCACTTTATGTTAAAATATTAAGCTTACATCTGTATCAAAAAGAGATCTATCCATTGAGTCCAAATCTCCGCCATCACGTAGTAATCTTTCCATATAACTTGTTCCACTGCATAGATTTAAAGAGACTCTAGGCGTAATTTAAAAAGACTCCCCCCCCCCTTTAAAGTTGGCAATGACCAATTAAAAATGATTTTAAGTATAAATTGTATATCAATATATAATTTTGAAAATCTGAAAACTTTCAATTGTGTCTTTTCTGCTACAGGAAAAAACAGGAATTATCAGAATTAAACACTTTTGAACCTAGAAAATCAACAATATCTTCCACATTATTGATCAGATCAAGGTTTAAAGGACAAGGTTGCGAATTGGGAATTGCCATCTTTACATGGAGGGTCACTTGAAATTACGCCCAAAGTCCCTTTAAGATTGTAAGAAGTTATTAACTCTTGAAAAGTGCATTAAATTATAATGCTGGAAATAATGACAGTATGTAAATGTCCTATTTCCTTGACTCAAAAATATGTAAATCCTTTTTTTAAATTTTTTAACCAAGGTGAGCATCAAATTCTATGAAGAAGCTCTTGATGAATATAACAAGTCTCTTTCAAAATTAATGAACCCTTTAAAAAGATAATTTTTAATGTTAACCTTTTTGAATCCCATGCGATGAGATTATCACTATTAAAACTTTGCAGTGTCCAGCTTGTAGGTGAACGGCTTACTTGACCTACTCAAGTTCAAAATTAAATCAAAAAGTATTTAAACAATTTATTTGTCAAAATAAAAATAAGTAAGTCTTGCATCTTTTTCTGGATGATCCATTTTTTTGTTGCTCCATCTCATAAATAAATGATACAATTTTGAAATGTTATATATAATTATGTCAAAAATGTAAAAAAAAAATATAATTTTGATAAGCTTAAGGAATTGTTCAGTAATTTTTTAATAATTTATTTTTTAAATTAAAATTTCTTTTATTAAAAAAGAGCAGTGAATTTTTTTCTCTGACTGTTGTATCTTTTTTTTTCTCTGATCAGAAATCTGTTTTCTGTTCTCTTTTAGATCTATGCATTCTAATCTCTTGTAGACTAGGGGAAAAATGCATTTTAAGGCATATTTCTGATTATTCGTTCTTGTTTGTGTATGGTCTGACTAAGCATTCCAGCATTTCAGGATACAGCTTTCTCAGCGCCAGCTCAAAAGACATACTAATTAAGATCTTAAAAAGTGGAAAAAATAAAAGTCGCCGCACTAAGCAGGGTTGAAAACTCTGAGGATATCCATTGTCAGAATTCCACTTTAAAAGGACTGTAAAGGAAAAATGAAAGGGGGTATAGGCTGAAAGCTAATCACTTTAGCTCTTGATCGCGAAAGTTTTATCTGATGTTCCTGTCTGGAGAAATTGATTTAAAACTGTGTTGCAATTATACAAAAGTTCATCTATGTAAAATTTAGAAAATCTTACAACTTAAATCACCTGACCAGGACTATCACCAATGGCAGAGCAGTATACTGATCATGTGTCTCCGCCTGTATCACGTGACCACTTTACTGCACTGCCATTGGTGGAACTTCTGGTCAAGTAATACGGAAGTATAAATAATATTATGAATTAAATCTATTAAAAATAGAAATAAAAAATATAAAATTAGAATTGGAGTAAACCTAAGTTACAATTAGCTTTCTCTGGGATATCATAGTTTTCAGATTGGTTGCATATTTGATCTATATAAACCCTCTACTTTTATACAAAATTGTATATATATTAATTTTCGTATAAATTTGACAGTTGTATATCAATTTCTCGAGATAGGAACATCAGATATAACTTTTATGGGTCAGAATCGAGAGCTAAAGTAATTAGCTTTCAGCCTATACCCCCTTTCATTTTTCCTTTACAGTCCCTTTAATAATGACAAATGGGATAAGAAAGGTTAGGAATTGAGTGCATATTTTTGACAAAAAAATTCTTGATTCTTGTAAGTTCATCTCGGAAGGTGCTTCAGAATACGGCCTTGTCTACAGCTAGCTTGTCCTCACAGCTGGCAGAGTATAAACTGGTACCATAGTGCATGGTTCATAACCTATCAAGATTCTGCTCTAGATGTTTCAATATTCCTTGTTTCTGGCAAGAGGGAGGGGGAAGTAAGAGAAAGAGAAACCCCTCCTTCTCTGAACTATTAGTTTTTTCCCCCAATTACTGTGTACTGTCATGTTATTTCACAAAGGTTTCTGTTCAGCCACAAGAAACTGGAGAGAGTTATATAAAAATCTGACTGTTTGGAGCTCCCTTGATGCTTAAACATTCAATCAAAAGAATTAACATCTTTCCAACGAATTCAGATATATATTAACTGCTGTTACGCGAGCCATGCTGCGTATAGAAAGTCTGTTTGTCGCCCCTGTGTATTTCTGAGTTCCCCCTGAAGATCTGTACGGAATGTATTGTGAAAGAACTAGTTTAGGAACTGTTTACAGTCCGACTGCGCAGACGCAAGATTTCTCGCGGAATAGTAACTAATTTATGTCAGTATATGTTTATTCGTTTTGCAAGTATTAGCCGTGTTCAGAATTCTGGGATCACTGTGGTAACTATTTTATATATATTTATGCTTGTCGGTTTGATTATAATATGATTGATATTTGTATACATGTTTATTGGTTCCTAGCCACAGTTTTTTAATGCCTGAGTGAATTATTTGTTGTAATTGTATGATTTATCACTCAAAGCTTTTTCTGTGGGTTTATTAAACTTGTTTAGATTGAAGGCTCAGAGAAATAAACGTTCGGAACCTTACTATCATCCTTTTTATTATGAAGAGCGTTGAGAGAAGGGAGTCTTACGATCCGGTCCTGAGAACTACCACACGGTATATATATTAGGTCTTTAGGGAAATCGCTAAGTAGCGAAACAACTGCTAACCAGGCTTGATATTGAGGAGTATATTTGAAGCTGCCATTTGCAAAATCTGGATCCAGCAAGGTAAAAAAAACCTCCATTCTCCAGGTTAACAGAGCATTAAAATGCTAATGCAGGCTTTCAATGTTTCTTTTTTACTGTTCCATTTGTGTGCAGGGGTGTATAACCCCCAAGTTTAACAAAGGAACTTGACATTGGATATTGTGTGTACTTTTAAATTTTTGAGCTATCTCTAGCCAGATACACAGTCCTATAGATGAAATTTGTCTGTTATTTGGTAGAATCAAAAAGAGTATTTTTTAGCTTGAGCCAATGCTGTCCACCCTCATTATGCCAATCTATCTACAGGAGATAAATTAAATGATTAAGGCCCAGAAAAAGCAATATCATTACAAATACACAAATAAATCTAGTAATTAGTTTTTTGGTCTTAAATCAAAATCAAACCTTAGTTAAAATACATGTAAAATGACCTGTCCAAGGCTTTAGATTTCCTTTAGGTAATGGTGTACAGGTTCCTCTCTGAGTAACATTTCCTAATATTCATAATGGACATTTGGAAAACTTGAGTTGTTGTTCAGTATGCACTTAGAATATATATCTTAGAACTTAAACCCTCTTAATGATTGGGATAAGTAGGACAAACTTTCTAGCAGGGGGTTATTTCTGAAGAGGAGAGAACAAGATCTTGACCACATATACTACATTAAAATCTTTAATTTTCCAGATTGTTTATTCATTTCATCTTTAGAAATGTTATGTTTGAACAATACTAAATCACTTTTTCATCTTTTTCCATAAAAAATTAAGAATTATCAAGTATTAGGAAAAAATGTTTTTTTTATGGCTTCATTTCTTCACTGTATTTACTTATATAATATAATCTGTTAAATGTATACAGTTTAGTTTTTAATAATCAAAAAAACAGTCTCTTCCTAAAATTATCTTCAATTATTTTGTGATTATAATTGCATATTTTTTCAAGATTGTCCACATTCCTGTTAAAGTGTTGCAGCTAGACACAGAGCTACTGTCATAATCAGATCCAATCTCAAAACTACCCTAGGTATAATTTATTTTTATCTCTTTAGACCAATGACCAGCGCTCACCCTATTATATGAATAAAAGGCTTTATTCCACTAAGGGTCTATTGACGTCATTTAGAAAAATAGTAGCATGGAAAAAATTGCACAGAATATCTTAAACAATGCTTCTCATATAAATGTTAAAAGGGGTTTTGCTGTGATTGGGGTAAAAAATCACTAAAACTAGCCTCAAAATGTCCCTTGAACTTTGTTTTATGAATTAACTTTTGACAAAACTTATAAAGTATTGGAAGATTGAAATGGAAGTAGAATTCTCTTACTTGATTTAGATGTTGATTAGGTTGAAAAGGGACCTCACTCATTCCCACAACTGTGACAAGAGTTTACATTTTTGTCTTTTTTTAAATATTTTTATCTGTAACTGATTTTAATAATATACACAGACACTCATTGTTTTTTATAAGTCTACAGATTTTCTTAAACTGTTTGACCATTTAACCTTTTTTATTTCTAATCTTTCAGGCCATATTATATAATTATACTTAGAAATAACGTAAATTATTTGAATAATAAATCTATACTGTTAACATGGCTTCCGGAATTCTAAAATAAACTGACTGAACCCCAGGGGTGTTTATTCTATTCATCCAGGAAGTGGCAAATAAACAGAACTACAGGGGAACAACCAAAGTAGAAGAAACCTCAAAAAAGAAGAATTAATCCTTATTGTTTAAAAATTTTCAAGAAAATGCATGTTCACATTTGTGTAAAGGACCACACAACAGTTTAATTCATTTAAAGTTTAAAACAATTTTTGATATTTTTCCTTTACACTAATTTGTAATTTATTTAACTTTTGTTGATTAAACTTCTGCAAAATGTAATGTTACCTTTATATATCAATAATAGAGATTTTTTGGAGTTTATCTAGAATGGATGAGATAGAAAACAACATTTTCTATTTGAAATGAAGAACACATTCAGTTTTTGTGCCCCCTTTTGAACTTCCTAAGTTTGAGCCCCTTCACTTAAACTACCTATATACGCCCTTGCAAGTCCTCTACTATCTAGCTAATTAACCTAATAATCTATTTGACTATTCTATTCAGAGTTAAGAGAAAAGTTGCATGTAAGATTGGGACAAAGAAAGGAAGAAAGTTTAAGTGGGAAATATATTCCAATGGATTCTTTCAATCCCATTAACTGTCAGGTTTATGTTAATGCTTGCACCTTTTATTACACTTTTGAATATTTCTGACCCCCCTTCTCTCTTAAAGGGACAGAAGCCTAATTTCAAGTGACGGTGCAAAGACGGAAATGCCCGATTTACAACGGTACCCTTGAAACCTTAATCTGATCAAAATGTGAAAGATACCGTGGTTATTCTGTTTCAAAAAGTGTTTTTTTTTTCTGTAAGTTTCTCCTTTGCTTTGAATAAACAAGAAATGCGCAAGTCGCAAGTCACTTTCGCAGGGAAACCTCAAATGAAACTTATCAAAAAAACTATAACATTGATATCTAATTCAAAATTGATCAGACGATGACACCAAAATCAACTTAGTAGCATCATTCTTCAAATTGTGGTGTTTAATTAGGCTCCGGTACTCGCAACAAATTTTGATAAATGAAAATTTGACATTTCTTGGAGTGTAGTTTACTTCTAAACTACCAATATTTTGTAAACACTGAGTATTGTTATTTCTCATGAATACCGAGCCTTGTTTACAATCATATAGTTAATTATGATAAAATAGATTTTAAGCGCTCCTAATACGTCATAGTAAAATGAAAACCAACTATCACCAGAATGAATTTATATTAAAAAAAAATCTCAATCTTTTCACATTTCTTAATTTTGATCGAAACTATACAAAATTACATCACTAAATATATCAATCAAGAGGGACTTTATGTTATGATAAGTACAAGAAGAATCTAATGTTAACGTACTCAATATTTCATGAACAGTCTTTTTGACCTAAAAAAATTATGATTAATAAATTAATGGCAATAAAAATGATAAAGGTAAAGAACATTATCAATAAATCAAATGTAAAATTACTTTGATTGAAGAAGACATTTATTATTATTAGCTATGGTTGATATCTTGAATTTCTCACTGTATCTCTAATCGGAGCCAGATATTCTGTGACATTGAAAGGTTTAAGCCGGGACGGGATAGAGAGGATGCCCCGGGGAGAATACTTTAAACCAGCCTCAGTTCTGGAGGACAAAATAGAGGCCTCAGGCCCAGGCTCAAACCATATCCACACAATCCATCTGCTCCATCTATAGTTAAATTATCTGCCCCATCTTAAGTTAAACTATCTGCACAACCTATCTCTCTGCTCCATTTCTTGCGAAACTGTCTGCCCAGCCCATCTCTCTGCTCCATCTATGGTTAAACTATCTGCCCAACCCATCTCTCTGCTCCATCTATTGTTAAACTATCTGCCCAACCCATCTCTCTGCTCCATCTATTGTTAAACTATCTGTATAGTTAAACTATCTGCCCAACCCATCTATCTTCTCCATCTGTAGTTAAACTATCTGCTCAACCCATCTATCTTCTCCATCTATAGTTAAACTATCTTCCCAACCCATCTATCTGCCCCATCTATAGTTTAACTATCTGCCCAACCCATCTATCTGCCCCATCTATAGTTTAACTATCTGCCCAACCCATCTATCTTCTCCATCTATTGTTAAACTATCTGCCCAACCCATCTCTCTGCCCCATCTATTGTTAAACTATCTGCCCAACCCATCTATCTGCTCAATCTATGGTTAAACTATCTGCCCAACATACTCTCTAATCCATCTATAGTTAAATAGTTTAACTATCAGCCCAACCCATTTAACTACCCTATCTATAGTTATACTATCTGCCCAACACATATTTCTGCTCCATTTATAGTTAAATAGTTTAACTATCGGCCCAACCCAAATAACTACCCAATCTCTAGTTAAACTATCTGCCCAACTCATCTATCTGCTACATCTATAGGTAAACTATCCGCCCAAGTCATCTATCTGCTCCGTCTAAAGTTAAACTATCTGCCCAACCCATCTACTTTTCAATCTATAGTTAAAATATCAGCCCTACCCATCTATATGCCCCATCTATAGTTTAACTATCTGCCCAACCCATCTATCTTCTCCATCTATTGTTAAACTATCTGCCCAACCCATCTATAGTTAAACTATCTGCCCAACCCATCTATCTTCTCCATCTGCAGTTGAACTATCTGTCCAACCAATCTATCTGCCTCATCTTTAGTTAAACTTTCTGCCCAAACCGTCTATCTGTCCCATCTATAGTTAAAAACTATCTGCCCAACCCATCTATAGTTAAACTATCTGCCCAACCCATCTATCTTCTCCATCTGTAGTTAAACTATCTGCCGAACCCATCTATCTGCCTCATCTATAGTTAAACTATCTGCTCAAACCGTCTATCTGTCGCATCCATAGTTAAACTATCTGCCCAACCCATCTATCTTCCATCTGTAGTGAAACTATCTGCTCAACCCATCTATCTTTTCCATCTATAGTTAAACTATCTGCCCAACCCATCTATCTTCTCCATCTATTGTTAAACTATCTGCAAAGCCCATCTATCTGCCTCATCTATAGTTAAACTATCTGCCTAACCTATCTATCTGTCACATCTATACTATCTGCCCCACACATCTATCTTCCTCATTTATAGTTAAACTATCTTCCTAACCAATCTATCTGCCCAATCCATAGTTGAACTATCTTCTTGCGCCATCTACAGTTAAACTATTATTTATTCTAGAAAAGTCCAAATTAAGACGACATTTAATGCACTATTCTCAGCTCTGTTGATACAAATAGTACCAAACTAAAGTTAATGTTTGAGAGAAGGTAAGACTTATCCCAGAAATAATTTTTATTGACTTTTGTAGTTAAAGAGTTTTTCCGTGGTGGTAAGGGGGGGGGGGCAGTGTTTATGATCTATTTTATTTGTTGTGGATTCGGAAACATGTCATTACCCTTGTTTTGATAAATAAAAAATGTTTGAAATGTCGTATTCTTATTTCGCCTAATTTTTTTTCAAACACTTATGAACCATTCAGACATTATGAAGTTTTACAGATATCTCATTAGTTAACATCTGATATGTGTTTGGGAGCAAAAGTATTTTTAGCAGCTGTTTTGGGGGAGCACTTGCAAAACGTTTCCCCACTAAACGTTTCCCCACACAATGTTTCTGATACAAAACCTTCCCTGCCTCAAAACATTTCCCCACAAAACGTTTCCTCCTCAAAATGACTCCTGACACAAAACGTTTCCTCTACAAAACCTTCCCTGCCACAAAACATTTCCCCCAAAACGTTTCCTCCTCAATATGACTCATGAACACAAAACGTTTCCTGCTATAAAACGTTTCCTCCACAAAATGTTTGTTTTCATAAATGTTTCAGCTCTATGTTAATTTGCTAAAAAAAAGGAAGGTAAAAAATTGATGATGTTTATGATATAATTTAAAATGCAATTAACCATTTAAAAAACGCTTTACTTCAAAATTATATAGAGAAAATATTATACAACATTAACTGGAAACGACAAATCATCTAACGTGATGGAAAATATAGAACGGTTTTTTTTTAGAAATGAGTGAACTACTCAATCGTTTTGAGGTGGAAACATTTCGTGCAGAAACTTTTTGTGGGGAAACGTTTTGTAAGTTCTCCGTTTTGGGTTGGTATTTTGTTCCTTAGATCCGGATCCGTGGATCCGCATATCTTTGAAGATCCGGATCTTAAGCACTGGTTGGATGATGAGGGTGAAGAGGAGGAGGGGATAGTGGGAATGATTTCTAGAAAAATTTGTTTGTGGAAAAAAAGTTTAATTGGATTTCCAGCTTTATTTCGAAAAAAATAGAAGAATCTAGTTTTCTCAGCTAAATTAATATATTTTAAATATGGATTTGGGGTTCCTTAAAATATGAAGAAAAAAGTGTTAACATTTTTCCTCTAAATCTTGTACTAAATTTTGGTGATGACCTGGGAGGGAAAGTATGGGTTTCCAAGAGAGTTTAGGATGTACTATTATATTAGATTCAAGTTTGCAAAATATTTCCATCCTGTCTCAATATTTGCAGTGAGTGCAATATTCTATATGCATATATCCAATATTGCAAACAATTCAATATAAACCAAACCAATATCCTAGTTCAACAATATGCATCGTACAATCAGCAGTACGCTAACTATCAATGCACAATGCACAGTGTACTGCTAGAGATATGCATCGTACAATCAGCAGTACGCTAACTATTAATGCACAATGTACAGTGTACTGCTAGAGATGGGCATTGTTTTTGTGAATGAAATTTTTTTCGTAAACAATGTTGTCATTCCAAAAAAATAAAAGATGGATGGACTTGGATTGTTCAGAGAAATGTAAAACAATCGATTAAAAAAAAGAACAAAAACAAAGTTTTAAAATTGTTTAAACGATCTTGATCGTTAAAGAACGGGGTTGTTTAATTTTTACTAAATTTTCGAACAAACTTTTCATTAAATAAACGATAGTTTTTTTTTACTGAAAGAACGATTTTATTGAACGAACGATTTTACTGAACAAACGATTACACTAAAAAAATTAACG